CTGTATCTCTGTATCTCTGTATCTCTGTATCCCCGTATCTCTGTATCCCTGTATCCCTGTATCTCTGTATCTCTGTATCCCCGTATCCCTGTATCTCTGTATCCCTGTATCTCTGCATCCCGGTCCGTCCATCTCGCTTCGCCTTTTGTCCGTCCGTCTGTCTGCATGTCAGACTGTTACATAATCTGCGGTCTGCGGTCTCTAATCTGGATTAGCCGATGTGGATTATCCTGCTGTAGCGCCGCTCGCCAGCTCTGCACACAAACAAGACGCTGTCCGATCTCAGACTGGACTTCAAGTCGCAGTAACGGACTGCGGCGGGGAATCCAGGCCCAGAAATTAAAGACGTTATGTAAAGCAGCAGCTCGTTTGCGTCGGCGGGACGTAATCAGATTTCATCTCCAAACGAGTCGGAGCAAATTAAATTAAATTCTGTCAGAGATTTAAATGATTCAGCGTTGAACACAAACAACGTCTGACAGAACTAACGGTGTGCTTTTAATTACAGTCACACGGTTCAGATCCTAAATGAAAGCACGACTTCTGGATGAATGAAGCTCTGTTTGCAGGCAGACGAATGGTTAGCATCGTTAGCGGCTACAGCTTCTCGAAGCTAACACAGGTTCCTTTTGGCAGTTTCTTCAGCTGACACAGGTTTTATTTTAGCTAGCACAGATTTCTCCTTTAGCTAACGCAGGTTTCCGTTTAGCTAACGCAGATCTTATTTAGCTAATACATGTTTCCTTTTAGATAATGCAGGTTCTCTTTTAGCTGCTCTTTGAGCTAACACAGGTTTAATTTTAGCTAGCGCAGATTTCTCTTTTAGCTAACACAGGTTTAAGTTTAGCTAACGCAGATGTCATTTAGGTTAGCATGTTTCTTCTTAGCAAATGTAGCTTTCTTTTAATTAACTTAACACTAGCTTCTTTCTCGCTAACTTCCTTTGAGCTAGCCCAAGGTTTTAGGTTTCTTTTAAGCTAACAGGTCTGTCACTTTGGGTTCACCTTTGGCTAACTGAAGCTTTTTTGTAGGTTAGCGCAAGTTAGCCAACACAGGCTCCCTCCCCTAGTTCTTGCAACTTTCTTTTTAGTTGACCCAAATATGTTTTTAGCTTAAGCAGGCTAGCTAGCGCACTCTGTTTATAGCTAACACGGGTTTCCTTTTAGCTAACACACACTTCAGTTTAGCCAGAGCACAGTGCAGAACGGTCCGGCTGCACCTCTGAAAAAAGTGATTTAAATTTATTTAAAAGGAAAACGCTGGTGATAATCAGGAAGTTGTGATGCTCACGCTTCAGAGCAGGACGAGTGTTTTATATAAGAATAAACACAGAATTAGAGTCACGTGCGTTACAGTTTATATTCAAAACAAAGACTTCATTGTGAGCGGCTGCGTACTGCGGCGGGATTTTCCCAGCAGGCAAATATCACGACTGTGTGCACACAACACACGAGCAAACACAAGCAGGTCACGGTGTCACTGTGGTGGAGCTGTGCATGTTGTGCATGTACACTGTTCAGCCACCATGGAAATGACTTGTTGTTTACCTGCAGTCAGGTGTCCTCGCTCTTCACATGGCCGCCGCGGTACAAGACAAGGTGAGGAAACAGCGAGGTTAGCAAACACCGCTACGCTAATGAACGGGCAGCAGTCCGGAGCTTTGAGGTTAAAGGGGGTTTAGCAGCACCTCATGCAGCAAACACACACATGAACACAGCCGGCAGCTCTGGAGGCAAACACAGCATGCAGCAGCTCACTGCATGGCAGGAAGCTATTTCTGCCCACATCACACAGCGGGAGGACAAAGAGACTTTTAAACCCCTGTGGCTCCGATGGAGGCTTTTCATGGCCGCCTTAAGAGCACCAAGACATCAGTCTGTTTTTACACAGCAGCTTAAAAAGACAAACATTTTCTACCCGTACGAGATGTTTACTCAGCAAACATGGAACACTGAAATGCACAATGAGTGGATTTTAAAGGCCGAGCATTCACACACATCCACAACACAAGAGTCTAGGGCGACATTAAATCTAGCTAGCACACATTCCCTTTTAGTGAATGCAAGTTAGCACAATGCTAATGGCTCCTTTAGCAAGCGTAGGGTTTGTTTAAAGTTGCTGCAGGGTTTTTGTTTGTTTTTAGCTAATGCAGTTTCTCTTTTAGCTAACAGGTTTCATTTTAGCTAGCACGATAAAACAAGTTCCTGTTAGCCGCCACAGGTTCTCTTTTAGCTAACAAAGCTTTCCGTTCTGCTAATGCAGGTTCTCTTTTAGCTAACGGGTTTCATTCTAGCTAGCACAATAAAACAAGTTCCTTTTAGCCGCCACAGGTTCTGTTTTAGCTAACAAAGGTTTCCCTTTCGCTAATGCAGGTTCTTTTTTAGCTAACAAAGCTTTCCGTTCTGCTAATGCAGGTTCTCTTTTAGCTAACGCAGATTTCATTCTAGCACAATTTTATGGTAGCTTTATTGTAGCTGCAATAAGAATTCAGCTAATTCAAGTTGCCTTTATCTATCGCAGTTTCTTGTTTCCTCTAGCACGTTTATTTTAGCTAACACAGGTTCTCTTCTAGCTAATGCAGCTTTTATTTTAACGTGTTAAAGTTTCTTTTTTCTGTCGTAGGTAGTTTGTTTTAATTGCTTTCGCAGTCTAGGTAACTAGTGCAAGTTTTTGTGTGTTTTTTATTTAAGCTAATGCAGATTTCATTTAGCTAGCATACGTTTGTTGTACCTAAGAAAGATTTCTATAAACTTAACACTATTTTTTTTTTGCTAGCTATCACAAATTTCCTTTTAGCAGGTCCAACGTGCAGAAAAGTGCACATGACAACAAGGGATTTTGGCGACTCACGTTACAGCTTTAAAGGTTGTTTATTACAGAGGAAGTGGACCAGAATGACAGACTACAGGTTTTTTCTTAAACAAACAAAAGGCCGTTTGTGAGCAGCTTCTTATTTTATCAGCACCAGTGGATGCTGCAGCGTCCTCCTATACAGCGAGTACACTTGGAAGGCTGCCCTGTCATTTATAATACGATACGCTGCTGTCAGTCGGCTGGTATGTGAGGAATGCTGGGAGGTAATTTAATGGTCCACGTCCCGGTTCCCTGGATAGAATCGGATAAATGGACGTTCAAAGCAGAAAACTCTCTCTGTCGAATCCCTGTCTGGGCTGTAACTACCGTAACTCTGTAACGTCTGGGCCCCAGTTAGCACGAAACGTTGCTAAAAGCTACCTGCTCAGGTATTAGCATCTGTGTACGTTTAGCGCAGGAGCTAACTATGTTCTACGACAAGACATCTCACTTTGGTTGAACACTTAACATGCAGCACAATCACGAAAAAAAAGGAAAATAAAGTCTCTAAAAGGTTGGAGACTTTGGATTTCCAGCGTTTGTGCTGGCTGCACAAAAATTTCCCCACGGGGATATTAAAGATTTTGAACTTGAACTTGAACTTTATCCAATATACTGGTGTATTTTTTTCCCCCATTTTTCTTTTAGCATTAGCTAAACGAAACACAGATTCTCTTTTTAGCGAACGCAGCATTCTGATTGGCTAACACAAGATTCTTTTAGCTGCTGAGGGACTTTTTTTGTCTTTCTTTAATGAAGCTAACAGGTTTCTTTTTAGCTAACGCAGCGTTCTGATGAGCTAACACAAGTTTCTTTTAGCTGCAGCAGGTTCTCGTTTAGATAACGCAGATTTCTGATTAGCAAACACAGGCTGTCTTTTAGCTAATCCTGGTTTGTTTTTAGCTAATTCAGATTTCTTTTATCTAATTCAGGTTTCATGTTAGCTAACACAAAGTTCTTTTAGCTGCTAAGGGACTTTTTTGTCTTTCTTTAATGAAGCTAACAGGTTTCATTTTAGCAAACATGGGTTTGTTTGAGCTAAGACAGCTTTCTGTGAAGTTAACACGAGTTTCTTTCGAGCCTTTTAGCTGGTCCAAAGTTTTAGGTTCCTTTTAAGTTAACAGACGTTTCACTTTTTGGCTCGAGCAGATTTCTTTTAAGCTAACGTTGGTTTGTTTTAGCCACTTTGCTAACACAAGTTTCTTTTGGCTACTGTAGATTGTTTTAAGCTAACACAGATTTTATTTTAGCTAGCACAGATTTAACTGAGGTAAAGCAGGTTTCCTTTTAGCTAACGTAGGTTTGTTTTAGCTAAGACAGGTTTTCATTAAATCAACACTAGCTTCTTTCCAGCTATCATAAATCTCCTTTTAGCTGGTGAGGTTTCCGTTTAGCTAATACTGGTTTCCTTCGGCTAGCTAAAGTTTTGTGTAGGTTAGCGTAGGATAGCTATCCTTTTTAGTTAATGCAAATTTTCTTTTAGTTGAAAGAGGTTCCCCTTGAGGCCCAAGACAGTTTAAATATTAATTTAAAGTTCAAATAAATACCCCTAACATACCCAATATATCTTATTATTGGTATTTATTATTATATTATGATAGCATTTAGCTTTCTTGAGGTTCTTAAAAGCCTCCATTGGCAGCAGCTTCAGGCCAGATGGGGTCTAAATGTTCAACCAGAGTGAAAGGTGGTCTACGGCTCTACGGGTTCTAGTCTACGTCCCGGTTCACCTGAGCTGTCCAGCTGCATGTCCCACGTGGTGGACATGACCCAGCTGTCGGAGTGGGACACCGATGAGGAGGTGTTGCCCCACCGATCCTGCCCCGGCGGTGACGTTCTACCCCACTGTGTCGCGATTTCCCCATTTTGGACCGACGGGGCCGAGTGTTCCCCGTACGAGCTCCTCCGGACCGACTCCTCGGCCGGCGGGTAAAACAGGCCCTGATTCACACCTGAGCAGAGTCGAAGGCCTCGTTAGCACAGGACGCTAATCAGGACAGGGAAACACTTTGACATCCAGCTGAACATCACGACTCGAGGAACACGACCAAGAGCCTCTAAGAGTTAATGTAGCCTCTATGGGATGTCCCAGAACAAGCCAGAACCCAAAGGATCCGCTACCCGATGCTAGATTGTTTTGGAGGCCTACCCAATGTTAGGTGAGGGGTTCTAAAGTGAAACAAATGACCCAGAACAGCAACGAAATGGACGTAAAACCCAAAACAATAGATGGAAGCTGCAGGTCTGGGTCCAGTTCTACCGAGGCTAGACGGGACGGGAAGAGTCGCCATCTAAAGAGAACCAAACAGAAACCTGCTGGTTGTAGGAAGAACTCTTTAGGCGGTACTGATGCTGTTTTTATGACACAGTTTGGTTCCTCTTGGTATCGTCCAAAGAGGTTCTAACCAGCACCAGAATTATTTTAAGTAGGAAGTCATTTAGCTGCTAATAAAATCCTGACCCAGACCCAGAACCTCCCTCTGAGGAACCTCCAGGTCCAGAGCAGCTTATTGGTGTAACCATGGAGAACACATAAACCAGTTTGTTTTCCAGCGAGGCCGGCGCCGTCCTCCATGTTTGCTGACTCAGACCAAACCAAACCAAACCAACACCACGTTCAGGCATCATGCTGCCGCCGTCGACCCGTTGCGGCGTTTAGCGGCAGGTTCGGCGGGTCGGCGTCTTACCCGGCGCTGCCTCCGGCGTGGCCGAGCGGACCCATTCCTCTCCGGGGCCGGCCCAGTCCACCACGGCGCCGCTCAGGACGCTGGAGTACAGCTCTGCAGCCGGGCAGCAGGTCGTGACAGGAAAACCAGTTACACAGCGAGAACACCAGGATGAGGCGTTTCCACGGCGACAGCTAGCAGAACAGGTGACCTCTGACCTTCTAGAACAGGATTCACCTGAAAACCGACCAGGTGTCACCGAAACAGCTGCTGGCTGATGAGACCAGATTAAAGAGTTACGGCCCAGAAAAGAGAAACCAGATGTTCTTCAGTGTAAACAGGATTTTACCTGGAAAGAGGTTCAGCCGAAAATATATAAAATAAAAACAAATTATTATTATTTTTTTTCCAATTGGAAGAAAATTTTGTTTGTGAAAAAATTTTTAAAAATTGAAGAAAATTTTAGTTATTTAAAAATAAATAAATAAAATCACAATATTATTTATTTTATTTTTTCAATTGGAAGAAAATTTTGTTAAAAAAAACAAAAAAACGTAAAAATAAAATCTAATTATTATTATTTTTTAATGTAAGAGAATTTTATTTATTTAAAAATAGCCAAAGTCAGATTATTTTGTTTTTTTTCATGGAAGAAAATTTTCTTTGTTGAAAAAAAAATCTGAGTATTTACTTTGTTATTTTTTGCAGGTTAGCTTGTGGAGAATGGTGGAAAACTGTCATGTTCAAAAACTGTAAAAATAAATAAATAAATAAATAATAATGATAAACTGCAAAAAATGACAACAAAAACAACTATTTAAAAAAAAATGATTTTTAGCCACTTTAATTAAAGTTTAACTGTAATTTTATGGTCACACATTGCAGAAGAAAAAAAAATACTATTTGTAAAATAAAATAAATATTGTTTTTGTTGTTTTATCTTTTTTACAGTTCATTCATACTTTTTAAAAAAAAATTGTACATGATATTTTCTGTAATTTAACAGCTAAATAAATGATTTACTATTTTTCAGTCTTTAATATGAACACAATTTATTTAAAGTATCTGTAGAATGATTCTGTTTGTGGTTATTAAATACAGTTAAAGATGGTTTCCAGTCCAGATTGTTCACATGATTCACTGACATGATTGTTATTTTATATTTTACTTTTAATGATTCAGCACTTTTACCTGATTTTACTTATTTTAGTATTTCTGCCGCTCTGGGACCCGACCAGCGCCGCACTGAGACCTTCTGTGGGTCTGAACCGGTCCTGACAGAACCTCTGAGCGTCGTTGAGCAACTGCTGATGAAACCACGGCGCCGCTCTGCAGGAGGAAGCCGGCTGGTTTCACACCAGAGCTTCCTCCTGCTTCACTTCCTGACTCACAGATCACAGATTACATAAACTTCCCAGAAACGAGCCACGGATCTGGTCCAGGAGGACTCGCCCGGCGCCAGAACACCGACTCCTGGAGGATCTCTGAGCCTTCAGCAGAACTTCTTTCATTTCACTGCCTCTGGATGAAAAGCTTCAGTCACAAGACCTCCGAGCAGCCGCCGGTCATGTGCTCAACCAGAGGCCATGAAAATCAATTAGAGCTCCGACTGGACGGAGTGCCTGAGATCCGGGAAGCCAGAAAGTCTCAGAGGCCTCGAACGAGTTCACGTTTCCACAGAAGCAGCTGAAGTTTCACCATAAGAGCCTCTCGGGGTCAGAGTCAGGCTGTTCCCCCACTGAACATGTGGATTATTTAACAGATTAACGGTGGTTCTGTCCATTAAAAGGTCAGAAAACAGTGAAAACTGTCGACTAAAGCGACGCAGAGGAGGAAGGAAACCAGAGAAGATCACGTCTGAGGAGGATTCAGACGGTTTTTACAAACTGATCAAACGTTTAAAGGCGTCGTTTTTGGTTTTAAAACACGTTTTAGAGACAAAACAACCAAAATAAAAACAGAAACCATCAGAAGGTTCATCACTAATAACATCTAACAGCACGTTGTCCTGATCTCCTGCTAGAATCACATCGTTTCTGGATTCATCGATCAGCTGTTTGATCCGTAAAATATCAGAGAATTTGTCCAAAACTCTGATTTATTGATCGAAGAGGAAAAAAAACAGAAATGATTCCTGATCAAGAAGCTGCAAGTCCATTAATTATCAAAACCTGATCGATTAGTCGCTGCAGGTCAGATCATCACTAAACATATAGAAATAAAATAAAACCTCAGAGGGAGGCGGATTATTGATTATTGATTATTGATCGTGAACGTCAGTAAATCCAGAGTCGGACGTAAAACGACATAAATTCTGACAAACAAAGTAAAACGTCACCAAACGACCAGTTGAACCTTAAAGCTGCAGCTAACGATCGATCAGCTGGTTAATGATCCGCCTTCTGTTTTAATTATAATCAATAATCGACTCCAGTTGGTTTTTATTTATAAGTTCTGCGACTGCAGCTCCTGAAACATGAAGATCTTCTGGTAAACTGACGTCGTTTGTCGTCTCTTGGATGATTTTTAACGATTTTCTGACATTTTATAAACAGCTGATCAGTTAATCCAGGAAATGATCAATAATGACTCTGATTGATACCGACAGCAGGTTTAAGTTTAGATCATTCAGCTCAGACGCACAACTGTTTGGTCCAATCAACAACAACAACAACGAACTTCCTCTCTCTATATATAAACTGTAGTATAAAGAATCCTTTATTTGGTCCAACATGTGGGAAAAAATGTTTTTGTAAAAAATATTTATAGAGAAAAAACAACAACAAAACAAACTAAAACAGGAAAATTACAAAAAATGGTTCATATAAAAATATTGTATAAAAAAAAATACTCAAAAATATAAATAAAATGTTGAATTAAATGTACAAAATTCCATAGAAAATAGGTCAAATTAAAATATTCAGATAATTTAAAAAATATATTCATAAAAAAAACATTGACTAGTAAATAAACTACATTTAAAAATCTGAGTAAAATCTTTAAAAAAAAAAAAAACATAAATAAGATTCCCCACAAATATTAAAATAAACGTTTAAAACTGGACAAAAAGGAACCAAAGTATTCAGATGACGTCCAAAAATGGTAAAAAAATAAAAAATATAAATAAAATAGTGGATCAATAATTGAAAAAAAATATAAAGTATATTTTTTAAATCTATTAAACTTAATATAAAAAACTGAAATATTCAGATAATCTCCAAAAATGTTCCAAAATATTCACAGAAAACTGCTGTAAAAAACCCTTAAAAATACAAATAAAATCTTTAAAAACTATTAATAAAATGTTCACAGAAAGTAGCTGAAGCTGAAGTATTCAAATAATGTAAAAAATAAAATAAAACAGGTAAGAATATAAAATACTTCAAAATATCAGAATTATTTTTAATGTATGAAACGTAACATAAAGCAGCAAAAACTGAAAAATTCATTTAATCTCCAAAAACGGTCCAAAATATGGAAAAAATAACATTAAAAATACAAATAAAATCTAAAAAACTGTGAATAAAATGTTCCATAAATATAAAATCTATAAATAATAATGAAACTTTACACTAATTAAACCTGAACATTCAGAAAACGTTCAGTTCAACAGTTTTTTCTTCTTTATATTAAAACAGAATTAAAAATCCTTTAAACTCAAACTAAACGTCCAGAACCAATAAATAAAAGTCCAGAACCTCTGAACAAATGTCCAGAACCTCTGATCAAACGGGTCAGTTGTGTCTAAAGCTTCTCCAGCTGCAGCAGGAACTAAAGCATCGATCAATAATCAATAATCGATCAGTCTGTGGACCTTCTGCAGCCAGGACCGGTTCTGCTGTTGTCTGGACTCATCCAGGCAGCAGAACCTCCACAGTCCCACTACACAGGGAGCAAACAGCAGAACCAGCGGCTGGACCCGGAACCGCATCCGGTTCGTGTTTGTTCAGCTCGTCTGAACCGACCAGACTCGGTTCGAGCAGGATGTTAAACCGACCGAACCGCGGAGACGCTCAAAAGGAAACTCCGCGGCAGAACTTTTCCTCCGAACCCGCGGCGCGGCCCGGTTCGTCCACCTGTGCAGGTGAACTCACCTGCCGCCGCGTGCAGCTCACCTGTCTGTCTGCTCTCCATCGGCTCGCTGGGCGGACACACACCGACACCGACACCGACACCGACACACGCTCTGAGGAACCGGGCGGCACGCGCAGCCCTCCGCTCCTCTCCTCTCCGCAGGTCACGCGCTCCGTTCAGTCAGCCGGGCGGAGCTTGGAGCGCGAGGCCAATGGGCGCGCGCCGCTGGAGTTTAGGGCGCTACTGACCGGAAGTAGTTCGTTAGAGGAAGCTGCGCCGCCTGTCTTCTTCTTCTTCTTCTGTTTTTATTCTTCTTTTCTTTATTCTGATTTTTCTTGTTCTTTTGTTTTTTTTTAAAGTTTGATTTTACTTCCTGTTATTTTTATTACTGTCATCATTTCTCCGAATTATAATTATTATTTATTTTTCTGACTACTTTTGTTCTTATTAATTATTTTGTGTTCTTATATTTAATATTACTTTATTTTTCTATCTTTATTCATTATTATTTCTATCTGAAATGTTTTAATTTTTTAAAATCTATTTTTCTATTTTATATAAATGTTTATTCTATTTATTTTTCACATGCAACTAATATTGTTTTGTTTTTTTCATTTTTGCATCCTACCTCTTTATTTTGAGCATTTTCATTTATTTCTCATCATTACTGTTATTTCTATTTTTTATTCTTGTTCTCATCATTTCTTCTTCGTATCACTCCTATTATTTAGTTTTTAAAACGTTTAGTTTAGTTTTTATTTTCTCCTTGTTTTATTTGATATCAGAATTATTTCTACCTCTTTCTTATTTTCTCTCATTATTCTTCTTATTTATGCTTTTATTCATGTAAAATAAAATCTTGTCTTTAACTTCAAAACACAGAAATCAACTTGACTGTTGGATAAAGTTCTGGGAGTCTTATAATTAAAATAAAAATAAATAAAAATACTCCTAAGTACAGGTAAAACTGTTCAGTTAAAACAAGTATTACTATTAAAATATTTATAAAATAAAACAAACACTGAAATAAAAGTGTTTAATTTAAAGGTCAGGAGGTAAATCTGCTCTGAAATGTGCTGAAACAGGATTTAAATAATAAAGTAGTGAGTAAACGATAGAAAACACCTGAAACGTGAACTTAAACACGCTTCTGTTGCAGGTATGAACTTCATTCTTTAAACTACTAACAATAATAATGCTGAGATTTGACACTAAAAGACGAAATAATTCACTTTTTTTAACCACATATTTATAATTTATTATTTTTGACACCAGTAATCCTCCATCTAGCTTTAATTAACGCTTTAATTCTCTCTGTGCTGGGTTACCTTTACCTGTAATTTTCCTCGTTCACGTTGAGACTAAACGAAGTCCTGTGATGCTCTTGTGACCCCTGCTGACACGAAGCTGCACTCGCAGAGCAGAAACACCCTCATGCACACCGACACCACACAAAACCAGTCGCTTGGCATTTAAATCCGTTTATTCTCCACCAAACCCTCGCATGAAAACAGTGTTTGTGCCCGAACAGGTGAGCGACAACGACGTCAGCAGGTGGAAGAGTCGAACCAACACCAAACCCTCCGTCAAGATTCAGGCGTCCTGAGTTGAAAGAAGTTTAAAGTGATCTCTGTCTCTCTCTTTTATTTAATATTTTTTTGGTATCATCACCTCCTTCACTGAGTCGGACGGGCCGAAGCAGGGATCAGTAGTGCGTCTGCTTCGTCGTTCTCATGAGGTTCAGCCGGAGACGGTGGCGTTTAACATTTGGGATGAAGCTGAAACCCTGGACTCCGTCTGAAGCAGTAAAACACGGTTTGAGCAGAAAGAAAAAAGTGCCTGAATGTGCTGCATCGGGGCGCTAAAGATACTCAGCAGTAGTTCCATACAGTTCGTTACAGGTGCATACAGTGTGGTCGATCGTCTGAACTACGTGAAGGCACCGTTGCATATTTACGGGGATTGTAACAGCCAGCAATCGGTTTGAAGTCACCAACGGAGCAGCTCTTGGTCGCTTTACGGCAACAAGAAAAGTCTCTACATGGCGTCTCGGCGTCACTTCGGAGGGCAGGTTTGTGCATTTAAGAGCCGGAAAACGAACGTAGAGGCCGAACAGGGCTTCCCGTAGCAGCCTTTGGCAAAACGAATGAATAAATAACGAGGCGTGACCCAGAGCAGCAAACGTTGGGTAGTTTCCACGCCGAAGCTGCTTTTTGTTCATTTTCCGACTGATTGAGTAACGGTGCAGAACGCACACGGGGGAACGTCATGGGAATAGTTTAAACCGACAACATTAAAACCACCTGAAAAATATCATTTGTGCCTCAAAAACAGCTCCGATCCGTTGACGAATGGACTCCCAGACCTCTGAAGTGGATCCTTCAGAGCAGGGATCTCCAACTTCGGTCCTCGTGAGGTTCTAGACGTTACTGCGACACACCTGACTCACATGAATGGATCTCCAACAGTCTGTTAATGATCCATTAATGTCAGTCAGGTCCTGGGTAGGTGGAGCTCGTCAGCCTTGGTTGGCAGTCCACCTAGGACAGGGGTGTCCAATCCTGGTCTTCCAGGGCCCCAATCCTGGTCCTCCGGGGCCACAATCCTGCATGTTTTAGATGTTTCCCTCTTCCAACACACCTGATTCAAACGATCAGGATGGTTATCAGGCTTCTGCAGAGCTTGAAAACATGCAGGACTGTGGCCCTCGAGGACCAGGATTGGACACCCCTGATCTAGGAGAAGGAAAACTCTGATCTTAAGACTACGTGGCCTTGCAGTAACACCCTGTCCGGGATGGGCCATCCAATTCTGGCACCTTTAAACCAGATGGCTCCGGCAGACGAGGCTCGACGACCACGGCTGGCAACTCATCTCGGAGAGACAACTCCGAAATCAACTGCCTCATGACTTTACCCGTCCGTGGGAGAGACTTCGGGAGAAAACCCTGAGGTGAAACCAGGAGTCCGTTAGGGGGTCCGTTGTTGTTACAACCTTGTTCCAGCGACTCCTTGATGCCGGGCGTACTTGCTTTGGGACCTACTGCATGGGCAACACTCTGTCCTCCACATCAACTTGCCCGGACCTGCACCTGGAGAGCAGCAGTCCGGTGATTTGCAGTACAGAAACATCTAAAACCTGCAGGACAGTAGCTCACGAGGACCGGCGCTGGAGATCCCTGCTTTAGAGACCAGAAACCCCACCGACGTTCCTCCAGCTGTTGGGGCGTGTAGTCCTTCTCGGGGGGTCTACGTCTTCTGCAGCAACGTTTAAGGTGTCAAACCAAAGCAGGAGCCACAGTTTCCAAACAGAACATCAGAACATTACGGGTCCTGTTTACCTCATCAATCAGTGGTTTCAGTGTTGTGGCTTAAAATACACGTTAATTGCAGGAAAAAAAAAAACAACAACAACCCAAAAATGGTCAATTCAATCAGTTTTCAACTATAAATTTAACCCTCCGAACCCGCTTTGTTTTGGTTCCTCTCACATTTTTCTCATCAATCTAAAGTCCTGCAGCTCAGATGAAGAACTCAGAAACATCTTCTGTCAGTAGGACACAGTTAAAATCATCAAAAAAAACAAGAAAAACCAAAGTTGAATTTCTGAAATAAAACCCTGAACAAACCAAACATCAGCACGTCCATCGTTCCCTCACAAACCATGAATATTTCTTATCGTTGTCATTTATTTCCACATTCGTCTCCTCTCTGCTCGGTAGAAACACTGCCTGCAGTTCAACCTAAAACTCTGAAAACGTCCTCGTCGATAACGCTCAACGTCCACCAACAGCATTTTAAAATAGATATACTGATAAATTCATCATCTCTCAGCCCACAATATGGACAAGAACATTCAAAATCTCTACGTTATTGTTCTTTTAAATGGATATTTTAAATTAAAAGTGGCACAAAAGATTATTTTTAATGATTAAAAAAGTAAAACTTCAGTGTAAAAGTACAGAATCTGGTGCAAACGGTGTATTTTTGGGGGATTTTTTTAACAGAAAAAGGTGATTTCTTCTAAAATATAATAATTTAAAGTTTAGTGAGTGAGTTTTTAGAGGAAATAGCGCATCGTGATGAGCTCGGGGGATGTTTTTATGGTTTGTGGTTGATAAATGTGATTTTTTTGGACCGTTTTTACAGGTAAAGGTGCCTTTTTTCGGGGGTTCAGAGGGTTAAAGTCGTCATTCACACTGTCAGTCAGGTCAAAGTAAATTCAGTGTCGTAGCAGCCGAGCAGAGATAAACCACGTCTGTACACGATGCAGGTGAGCGGGTGGCTTCAGTGTTCATACATGTGTTCCAGTCTTTGCGGTGCCTCCTGGACCGAAGCCCGGTTGCCAGGCGGCGTTGCTCCGGCGAACACGACGTGAACTCCCTGAGAGCGGATTCAAACCCGGAGTTTCCTTCCTCTTTAGCCGGCGTGTAACAGCGTGACTCGGTGTCCTGCAGGAGCTTCTCTGGATGAAGCCGAGCTAACGTGGCGCCATGCGTGAAGCCGTAACATTCGTCCCACCACAGATCCAACCGAAGCTCCTCCTTCTGTACCGTGTTGTGCTTTTCCTGCGTTAGAACGTCTCTCCTGCTTTCACTCCTGCAGCAGCTTCGTGTTAGTTTTCAGCAGTGGATGCTTTATTTTTTTTTGTCCCTGCAGCCTCTCCAGCGGACGAACGGAGGCGAAGGAAGGATCGGGGGGCAGTAAAACATGAGAAGGACCGACCGCTGCCCGGGGGAGGCCTTCAGAGCTCTTCAAAATCTCCCGACTCCAGGCCGGACAGGATAAAGTTATTTCAACCTGCTGTGCTTCCCGTTAAAGCGTCTGTCGTGGATCTAAGTCTCGCACTAACGTCGAAGTCGATCAGCAGCAACACGAGCGTTTTATCAGACTAGTCTTGGCAAAGACGGAGCTAAACCAGAATCAAACTCTCGACCTCAACCTTCCCCTGCAGCCTCTGATTAGCAACCAGAAGAAAATAATTTCAAATGACTCAAAAATGACCCAAACTTGTGCATAGTAACTATAAAGTGACTTAAAATCCAGAATTGTCCAAAAAGACTCAAAACTCGTCTGTATTTATTGGACATAGAGTCCATGGAGTCAGATGGAAGATGAAGCTTGAAAAAGACACAAAAATTGACGAAAGTTATCTAAAACTCATTTAAAATTACTCAAAAATGACCTGAAATTCATTTGAAATTACTTAAAATGACATGAAACACTTTCAAAGTGAATCAAAATGACTTAAAACTCAAACTGATTGGAAAATTATCGCTGAATCAGAAGATGACGCTTGAAAACGACTCAAAAATGGTCAAAAACTCATTTGAAGTGACAAAAAACTGTTCAAAAGTGATGAAGACTCATTTCAAAATACTCAAAAAATGCCACAAAATGAGTCAAACTTGTGCATATTGACTCAAAAGTGACTTAAAATGACCCAAAATCGTCCAAAAAGACTGGAGTCTGTGGACGAGGAGTAGAACCAAATAAAAGAACACACCGGTGGAAATGACCTAAAAACTGACAAAAATGACCTGAAACTCCTTTAACATGACTTAAAATTGCCAAAATGACCCCAAAAAATGTTCAAAAGGACTAAAAATGTGTTAAAAATGCTTGCAGGAGTCCGTCTGTGGAGCTCCGACTAACAAACCTGCAGCTCAGGAGACGACATTTTACCTCCGACATCCAGAAAAGACCCTCGCATGTCGGTTCTCGGTGGATAATTTCTGTGTTTCCTTTTGTTTGGACTGAAAACATAAACGCAGCTCCTGATGATTTAATGTCTAAACTCTGATGAACCGGCGTGAAGCTTTCAGGCCTCGACGTTCACACTAAAGGGAAACAGCAGCAGGTTGAACTAAACGGTCGAAGCTTCGCCCTGCGTCGGTTCTTCACCCCTAAAAACCTGATGGAACCAACCAGCCTGATGCTGAACCAGGAGCAGCCAAGCTCAGCTCTTTGGTGAACCACCACCAACAACAACAACAATGGAGCCACAGAGCAGCATCCAGCGCTTTGTTCTGGCAGCTCTGTTTTCTGATGATGCAGGTCCTGGCAGAGGCAGAAGAACGATGCTGGGACGAGGACAGAAGGATGGAAACCACCACACGGAACCAGAAGAGGCTTCAGATCCAGACGTCCTGCCAGAAGCTGCTGCTGTGAAGCTCCAGTGGAGCTGAGGCCTCGTTTCTTCTTCATGGCTTCTTTTGGTTTCTTCTTCGTCGAAGGCTGCAGCACAAAAAAAGCCAGCTCATCCGGCAGCATCAACGGTTCCTGGAGATACAATCCGACGTCCTCCTGGAGCTCTGTGTCCGAGGAGACTGAACCGAACTGCGTCATTCGTTCTTTTTTTCCTAAAACGTGTTGTTTCTTTACTTTTTTACGCCTCCAGCACACAAAAAACAACAACTAACTGCTTCTTTTTGGTAGAAATAAATAGAAAAAGGAGAAAAAAAACGAAGCTTCTGACGTCTGAACTCGCAGAAAATAAACCGGAACGATTATTTGGTTAATAATTCGGAGCTACGACACGATTACAGCGAGGAAATCTTAACAAACCAAATTCTTCAGCTTTGTTCTTTACATTTTAGTCATAATTAGTTGATTAAAAGATCCTGAAGCACATTTTCCCTCCCCGATCAGACAGATTTCTTGGATAAAGAGCAAAACCGATGCACCAGAAGTTGCCTGAAAATCTCCTGAATTTTAGGATCTCTTGGTTTTCAGAGCGACTCTGCGCGAGCTGTCGGCGCATTTAGTGGCAAAAATAATCACGTAAGAGTGAATTCGGAGAACTTAATCTTCAAAAACGTGGACGAAGATAAAACGAGGAGTCGGCAGGAGTCCGTGATACGAAGCTACGGCGGCTAAAAAAACCCAATTACATGCTCTCGTTTCTCTATTTCCACGTATTTTCTGTCGCTGCGTTTTAGCTGCACATCGGCGATGTCATTTTCTAACGCTGTGTCCATGGCAACAGTCATTCTCCGAAACATTTAGAAGAAAATCGAGATCGACCGATTTTCTAACCCCGTAGCTGTGTATACGTCGAGTCTGCGCCTCGTTATTTATCCAAACTTTATCGACCAACCAGATGCTCAACAAAACAATGAACCTTCACGCGGCTGCTTCTGATCTCTTTTAACGTCTTTTATCCTCGTTGCTGTTTCATCTTTTAGCCATCGTGTCTGTAAAATGTGCAAACAAACCCCATTTTGGTTCGTTGGATTCTGGATTAAAAAAAGAACGAATGACGCTCAGTTTGTTCTCCTCAAACATCTGCTGTTGGACGAAAAGAGCGGGAAAAGAACCTCCTGCGCAGTCTGGTTTAGTTTCTAGACGCCGTCCGGCTCTGCAGCGAGACATAAATAATCCGGATGTGCAACGATGCCGGTTCCACCTGAAGCGTCCTGAAGCGTCGCCGAGCGTCCCTGAGGAAGATTGTCGCCGCCATCGCCGAGCTTCAGATCCACCGTCCGGCTCCTCTGGTCCGCTGCTGCTTCTTCCTCCTCTTGCAGACGTAGTAAACCGGGAACACGACCAAACCTGGAGGAGGCAGAACAGAACATCTGGTCGCAGCCACAGGTTTCACTTTCATTTACATCCAGTTAAAGCGGAGTTTTACCGATGACGAGCGCCAGAGCTCCCAGCACCACGACCAGCAGGACCACCACCGGAGCGATCAGCACCTTGGTGGCTGCAGAACACAAGAGTTAAAGACCAACGTTAAGGACAAACCGGCAGATCCAGAAAGGCTGTGGACGGATCGTTACTGCAGGTTCAGAGATGTTCTGCTAAACGAAGAGTCGACGAACTTCAGCAGCGTGTTCAGGTTGATTAACCACAGCGTAGGAAAGTAAAGAGATCCAGTGTTTCCTGTGACTCAGTTCTAATAAATCATGAATAAACGAAACAGTTCTGTGGTTCTTTAACGACATAAATGAATAAAGAGCTTCTACACGTCTGCTGCTGTCTGCTCCGTGGAAACAGCTCGACAGAAAAATCGTTTGTTTTTGTTTTTTTGCAGAATCTAGTTTATTCTTGGTCATTTTTTAAAAATTAAGTTTCATTGAATTGGTTTAATTTGGATGAAATCTGACAAAAATGAAACTCTGATGATTCTTCTTGGTTTTGCAGCTTCTGGTTCTGATGAAAGACGTAATTTTGGTGATTTTTTTAAAGCGATAACGTGTCTTTCAAATGCAAACGGTGGGTTTTATATATATATATGTATGTATGTAAAACTAGGCACTAGTTATTTATCTTTTTTTTTTTACAGAATCTAAAGTTCAGCTAATTTTATAACTACAGATGTAAAACAAAGTGATTTTCATGAAGCTTTAATTAAATATTATCATTAGATTTGGTTAATTTCTAAACGTCACACATGATCAGTTTAGTTTTTCACCTGGAAGTTAAAAATATGACTATTTTTTTCAGGTTTTTACAGTTTCTGGTTCTGATAAATGGTGTCATGTTTTCTAGTTTGATCCAACTGTCCCAGAAACATGTTTAGAAACAGGATTTAGGTTTTTTTTTAATCCAAATTCTTGTAAAATGAAGTGATTTTCATGAAGCTTTGGTTAAATATTATCATCAGATTTTCTTCACAGAACCGAACGTCACACGTGATCAGTTTAGTTTTTCACCTCAAAGTAAAAAAAATCTGACATTTTTTCCCATTTTTACAGTTTCTGCCTCTAAAAAACCTTAATTCTGAAGATTTGTTTTTGAGATAACACACCTGCCTTCATCATCTACACACACATGATAAGATAAATATTTTTCTAACTTTGTTTCAGTGGTTAACATATTCAGAAGCTTTTTTTCCTGCAGATTTTTTGGATGATCACGTAGAATGAAGCGACTTTAACAACATTTTATTACATTCGGTTAATTTTTTTTGACAAGTTTCATCCAGAAGTCGGGAAAAAAATAATTTTTTTCCCAGTTTTTTTTACAGTTTCTGGTGAATCTCGCTCCGATAAATGATGTGTTTTTGGTGATTAGTATTATTATTTTTAAGCTAAATCTCTAAAACTGCAGCTATTCCTGCTGGTAAATCACTTAAATGTTGTTTTTGAGAATCTAGAACCTTTTTCCTGTGAATTTTAAAGTAATTTTAATAAAATATCCCGACAGAATGATCCACCAGAGACGAAAATTAGTCAGAAAGTTGAAAATCCAGCCGTTCTTTTCTGTTTTTACATGTTTTTGGCAGATAAATTCTGTAATTTTGGTCATTTTTTAAAAACGTTCTCAGACGTTCCTGCTAAAACGTCTCGGAGCGTAAAAAGCTTTAAACACAAACGGCCTGACGTGGAACGATCAGAGACCGCCTCCATCAGCGTTTCTCACTCTGAAACTCGACTATAATCCGCGTCTGCTTCGCTTTCAGTCGCACGCGGTAAATAAAGCAGCTTAAAATAAAAAGAACCTGCAGCAAACAAGGCCTTTACAGCCAGGATTAATCATCAGATAGAAACGCAGCTTTGCAAACGAGAACGAGAATCACTGAGAGACAGAAAACTAAATACGACACCGTTACAAAAACCCCTGAAGCTCACCGCACACGGAGCCTCTGATGAAGCGTCTCAGGTGAGGTTTGTCCGGCAGGTAGCGGTACTTACAGCCGAACACGCTCAGGTTGGACGTGTGGTCGCCGAAAAACCTAAAAAAACAAACCACAGAATAAACACCAGGAGAGGCAGACGAGGCGGTGGGAGTAAAAGGAAGATGGAGGAGCAGACCTGAGGTGTCGGTATCGTTCCCCACAGCGGTAGCAGAAGTTGGTGTTACACTGAGTGCAGGTCATGTGGTCGCAGCCTTCTGTCCGCTGGATGTGGATCTGAAGGTGAAGAAGAGGAAGAGATGTGACTGTTTAAGAGTTCACAGGTAAAATACTTCTAAATCAATAAAGGTTTAATCTGTCTGTCTAAACGTCAAGACGCCTGGAGACGCTTCAGCCCTCTGTGGGTTTAAAATCATGTTATTGTTCTAAAATTCATTAAAATTACACCAATTATTACAGAAAACAACAGTAAAAACAGAATTATTTTTCAGGTCTTCAGCTTCCCGACAGTCCTCGAACTGATCATGTGAAGCTTTTGGTTTAGTTCAGAAAATCAGCCAAACCTCGGCTTGAAATGGTGATATTCAGAACATCCGAATGACTTCATTCTGCCAAACACAGAAACAGATTCTGGTTCTGATCTTTCCAAAGCCGCCAAGAAGTCGAGGCGGACCGAGCTGTGAGCAACAGGCCCAGGACAGGAACTCAGGATCGCACTTATTTATTTTAATAGTTAAAATTAAACCAGTTACTGCAGCAAGAAGCTGCAAGAACAGCAGGAATCGTCTGAACAATGAGCCCGATGTCAGACTGACGTTTCATTAAAATCACTTCACTCTACAAGTCACATTTTAATTTGCCAAAAATAAAAAGTTCACGCCAAAGAGATTCTGCGAAAAACAAAAAGTTCTGAACTTCTCAGAGCTTCTGTGAAGTCACGACCGACTCGGCTGTGACCAGCAGGAGCCTGATAGAAATTCAGGGAGTTTTCAGATGAACTGCAGCAGAGAGGAGATCAGTGAGGATGAAAATGTAAATCAGTGAATATCTGTGACGTGTAGAAGAGCTTCTGGTTTAGTTCCT